TTCTCTTTCAATTCTGATTTTTGATGATGCGTTATACTTTGTGCGTTTCCTGTGTTTAAGTGTTGATCTTGTTGATGCTCCTGTGGTTCAGTTCTTCTCTCAATAACTGGTGCCTTTTTTCCTCCATTTAGCTCTTGCTGATTTGCCATTTCTGGTTTTTCTTTGGACTCTTGATGGCATGTTCTTTTTTCCAGTCTAGCTTTCTTTCTCTTTGGTTCTTCTAATTCATTTGTTAAGTCATATGCAATAACTTTATCCTTCATGGCTGCCTTTTCTCTTTTTTTCGATATTCTTGGAATAATTGTTTGAGTACATTCATCTTTAACTTTTGGTGATATTTGAATACCAATCTCCTGTGTTAATGGCTTATCTACTTGGACTCCAACCTCTTGAATAACTTGTTGTGTCTCTGTTGGTTGAGTAGGCATAGCTTCTTGTATGGTAGTATTTCCAGTTAATTGTTCCTTCTTGTTAGTCATATTGTCATAAAAATCTAAAAGATCCTCATAAAATTCATTAATATAGCTTTTAGAAAATTCCCTGATATTCCGTTTACTGTTAAGGACCTCACCATTTACAAAATTTAAAATTTTTATTAATTCTTCCCTAGAATCCACTAGCTGTAGCAATCTTTTTAAATAAAAATATTGATCAAGTCTCTTTTGTAACTTGTAGAAATTTTTAAAACACTTTTCAACAGTATTTATTAGTTGGGCCTTTACTTCAAACATTTCTTCAAATGTATTATATTCTTGAAAGTATTTATAATACTCTAATTTATTATTTGCACCTAAATCTGTTCTCTTCACTTCATTGTTTAAAATATGATCCCAATGATTGTGTGTTTTGGAATTTTCTGCTTTATAATAGCATTGAAGTATATATCGCAGTTGAACTTTTAAATTGTTTACATTCACATCAATATGTGGATGAGCATATGGCAGAGTTTTGTACGGCATAAACCATTTGATACTCAGGCTATAGGAAAGGTTAAGAGTTATTAATTTCTCACAATTTAAAATTTATGTCAAATATTAAAATACATTAAAAAGTATATAAGGCTAATGGTGAATTAAAAATGTATGAACAATATAAAGTCTACTTCACACATGTATAAAAAGCCTTTTTTAAATGTGACTTTACCAACTAATGACAATTTTGCCAAGGAATATTAATTATTTTAAATGTAATACTTAGTTATATTACTTTGAATTAACATTAGGAAATTGTTTATATGTCTTAAAAAGCTGATTACCTAAAACTTATAAGACCTACATTTGTGAAATTAATTCGGCACATATATGCCACAAATATATGTATTAAAGAAATATTTAAAACCATCAAATCACTTACATCCTTCATAGTTCATTTTAAATATCTACATTTGCAACCAAATAGATTATTGTACAATAACCTTTATTATTCATACTATTTACATATTTTTATATATATTTTAACCTACTATTTATTAATTTACAACTTTTAACCTATAATAGCAAAAGAATCAAGACTCTTACATCTTAATATTTTGTATTTCTTGCTTGATACAGCTTAGAATTTTTCTAATATCCTACAAATAAAAATATTTGCTATGTCTTTCTTCTTCTAAATTAACTTTTAAAAGATATTATTGTTGGATATTCACACTATTTTTTAATTTCGCCTATTCCTAACATTATATATCTCTTTAAATATAAGATACATGAATAAATAATTCAATTAACATTTAATGCTCTTGATCAATTTAGTGCAAAATGCAAGAAATCAATCCAAAAAATACAAATATTACAATGGTCAATTCAGAACTAAAAAGTAAGGAATCAACCAGAAATCACTCAAATAATATACTAACTTTGAATTGGACATGATGATTTTTCTAAGAAAAGGATTGAAAAAGAAAGTTTTCCAGAAGTGTCTGTGGGAATCTATTAAAGAATGCAAAAAAGATGAATTAATAAGAAGGAAACTGTATAAATAAATCATCTTACCTGTATCAAATTCTTCACAGGAAGCTGTTATGGAACGATAAATTCATGGAAAAGGAGTGAAAATTTAGTGAAATTTTTGTAGATAACTTTTTTATTTATAAGTACTACCTTGAATATAATTGTTTTTGTCTTTAGAACAGCGTAGTAGAAGTGGAACTTTTCTAAAATTAATATATAACAATTAAACATTTGTAACAGAAGTTTTTGCTAAAACAGTTGAAAAACTGTAAGTAACTTACTAGCACAAAAGTATGATCTTCACTTAATTGTGACGAATGTTATAATGAAGAAATAACCAGTATATATAGAAGGTATTGACTGTTTGAAAACCTTTTTACACAATGGAGAAAGGCTAATTAAAGAATTAAATCAGTGCCAGTTCTTTAAAAACAATTGATCCAACAAGTGCTTGTTTAAGGGTTGCTTTGTCAAGGAAATGTGTAAACAAGCTAATTAGGGTATGACATTTAAGGCTTTTCTTAATTTGTAAAGAATCTGTCTTTTCTGGCTAAATTTTATTAGCCTATATAAATCATTTTAAATGTAGAAAGAATTCATTTGACATTTAACGCAAAATGGAACCATGGATGGTTACAGTTCAAAAGCACTATGCAGTTCTTGTAAACATTGAAAATTATTTAGAGGAGCTTGACGAAACTGATGGATTGTGTTTGTATATCATGCTAAGTGAAAAGCAAATAGTTCTGATGAGATTATTTAATAAGGAGAAAAATGAATATATGCAGTCTGCTTTAAATTGTTGTGTTCAAAAGATGGCAGTCCTGAAGAGGAAACTTCAAGAAAAGTATGATTTTCATTTATGTTCTAAAAGGATGGAAGAAATATTTGGAATTAACATTTATGACTATTGGAAATAATAGCAAAAATTTGCTTTTTTGGTTATTGTTTAATTCAATAAAATGTTATACTATAATAATAATAGTTTTTTTAACTGAAATTTTATGATATAAGCAATGGATAGTTTTGTGAGAATGTTTCTTATCTGCCGTTTTTGAGATAAGCTGATTATAGGGAACAAATCTTTTCAAGTTTTTTTATCATGACACTTTCACATATTTTGACTGGAGATAGCGTTCACATGGGAAAAACAGTAGAAATGTTTCAAGACATTAGGTAATTGTATATTATATATATATATATCACTTGGAATTAACCACTAAATTACAGTTTTGCTTTACTCAATTACTGTTTACCCAATTTATCAAGCTTTTTTATATATATAGATTATTCTGGCTTGTATTATATTGTGCAAAGATTTAACAAGCATTTATGTTTGTTCTGATCCTTCTTTCATGATATGTCATTTTGTCAAATTTTATGAATGATTTATACTGAATACTTTATTGCATTATTTTAATTTAATTAATAGTTTTACTATTTTATAGCATACATTGTTTTTTGAATTATATGATAGCTGGAGTAGGTGGAGTTTTCTTTCTCTGAGATAAGTGTTAGCCAATGGGGAGCCAGTACTATCTCTTGATTCGATAAAAAGGGAGTTTTTCATTTTAGTTATTTACAATCAACTTGGTCTCCATTCGGTAAGGATGATAGTTCTCTAATGCATAAAATTAAAGTAACATTTTCTTTAACAGAATCTTCAATCTTTCAATTCTTTCATTGTCAAGATATTTAAGTTAAAATATAACTAGGTGAGTTAATGTTTTAATTTATTTAATTGGTTTCATATTCTCTTTAATATTACAATTCTTTCAGCGCTTCATTACGGTTGGTCCTCTTAATTGCAAGAAAATCCTAAAAATATTTTAAAGTATGTATTTCTATGTTGTTCTGTCCTGTACTTCTCCCTCATAGTTGTATTTTATGCAACTAGAGAGATGTTCATTTATATATGATAATTATATAATACTGTTAATATCTGGAAGAGCATATGCAGCACAGGCATGAAATCTTTATTATTGTAAATATTTTTTTAGGTTGTGTTGGAGTTTCTTTAAATTTTTTTGATTTACACTTACTGAAAAAAGAGTGGAAAAATAAGATGAATATACTACTTCAAATTTAACCATTGAAATTTTCAACAAACTCTAATAAAAAGAAATTTTTCAAGCCTAAAATTATTTGAAAACTACTACTTTACCATGGTATACTATGCAAACCAAACATTTAAAAAAAAAATACCAGTTTCATGGCCATAATAAAGATTTTTTGCCTTGCTGTATTAATAAAACATAAGGGTTTTGAAGATGCCATTTACGTAGAACTTATCTAGATTAGATATTTTCTGTGGACAATATCTATCTCTTGCATATCTTCATTTGTATATGGCAGTATAGAAAAACCTTTAATTTATTAAAGTTTTGTAACAAATATATTGAAACTTGGTTGTTGCTACAGATGATAACATTTATTATTGATCTCATTCAAGAAGTTAACCATAAATTGTATCAAATAATTGGGCTTTTTAACAAAAACATGCTTTTAGATGAAGCATTTTATAGTTTGTTTTGCAATCATTATATTAAGGATTTGAGCTATGTTCAAGATATACTAGAACTAATATATGATTATAATGAACATAATAATTTGATGTATGCAGAGTTACAAGATAAAATATTTAAAACCATTATCAATATTAATACTGTAACAAATTTAAAAGACATACTTGTGGAATTTGATTTGCATGTGTTACCAACTGATTTTCTGTTCAATCTAAATTAAAACATGGCAAGACAGAGATTTTGATAGTAAAATCTATATATATATATATATATATATATATATATATAACCTAATGTATATATATATATATATATATACATTAGTGTCACTAAGTCTTTGTTTTCATAAATATCTGACGAATTAATTGCTTTTTAAATTATAAATTTTATTCAAAATTGTAAAAGTCATTATATTAGATAATTTTTTTGGCTTCTTTTACAGACTAATCCATTCTTGCTATATATTTCCAATGAATGACTTTGAATATTTTTATGATAATAGAACTAAACACATTAACAATCTCTTGGAAATGTTAAATAGTGATAATACAACATTGAATGAGAAAACATATGGAGAATGGGAAGAATGTTTATGCATAACTTTTGATGTTTTGGAAGACAATATCATGGTAATGAAATCTGTTCAACATTGGGAAGAATATTTGAAAAGAAAAAACCTTAACAAACTTTATGATAATTTGATTTCCAGTATTCTTAATTATGTTATTAAATATCATTGTTAAGATGAAAAATTACATGTATGGTTTTTCCCATTGTTAGCTTATTAATTTGTTTTTTTTTGTCACTTGACATAGTATTCTGAAAGAAATTAGTTGGTAACAATCTATTTGCTCCTCTTTTTTAAACTTTTATATAACTCAGGATAAATAAAATTTGAAAAGATTAATTCCTACTTTTATCTAGCTTTAAAAACCAAATTGAATCATAAGTATCATATTTATATTTATCTTTTTTTTAACCAGATTATGGCATATAGAAATGAAAAGCTTTTCAAATTTAAATCAAAGAAAACTCATGCTAAAATGGGTACAAGTAAAAATCAATTAAGTGATTGTGAAGTAGAAACAATACATAAACCACCTGAGTCTGTTCAATGTTTAAAAAGAGATGATGAAACAAGTAGAGCATGTTCAATAGAAAACAAGAAACAAACAACCTTAATCCAATGCTTCAGTAAAAAGAGAAAGAATGAAGTGGTAGATATTATTCATGTACCAGAAGCAGATTGTACTAAAGAAAAGGATTCAGAAACAGTTTCTGAAATAGAGATATGCGACAAACTTAGTCAACCAAAGAGAAAGAAACAAATTGATATTGTTGAAATATCATCATCATCACAGTCATCCACAGAGGAGTTAATGAGAAAAATATCAACCAATTTTGAGGAGGAGTTTTTAATGAAAGATTCCAATTTGCAAATTGATGAAACCTTAAAGAAGAAATTACTACATCAACAGAAATGTGATGATATCAAATTTGAAAGTGGTTTAACTGTATTTGTAAGGAGAAAAAGCCAATCGTTTATAAATTTTCTTGAACATTTCTGTAAAAATAGGCCTTTTGTAGCCATTGATATCCCACAATTAATAAGACAAGTTCCCCCCCAGAAAGAAATTAAATCAAAGTATTTAATTATAACTGATACAAGCTTTGATTATGATAAGAATACCTTAGCTCTTAACATACTAAAATTTGGTTTAGATAACGAATTATACATAATCCATATTGAGGATTTAATGGCAAATGATTTGCCAAAGATACTAAATGATTGGAAATTTGAATGCAAACAAATTGTAATACATTTGTTAGAACATCCAATTGTTATTAACAATTATCTGGAGAACTTTTACAGAGAATTTAAACTAATATCTGATTCAAACCAAGTTTTTATATGTATAACAATAAAAATTAATAATATACCAAGGTTTTGTAACTTTCCTTTTAAAAATTGTGACAAACTGGTTGAGGTAGGTAATAAGAATCATTTAGAAAATAAATTTGTTAAGACTTATTATCTTCCAAATAATGAAACTATCCTCAAGAATCCCTATATAATAATTATCCAATTTTTAGTAAATTTTAACAAAGGGTCTGTAATAGAAGTACCAGATTTAAAAAAGCTTGTTAATCAACACAACAAAAACAAAGATAAATCTTCAAAAGATAAATTGTTAGATTGTTAGTAATCTTTGTCAAGAAATTAAGAAATTCATTGTGAAATGAAGGTTATGTGAAATTTACATAAAAACATTTTTTAAGCTAATAATTATGTGATCTGTTTGAAAAATTTGAATACAAATTCTTTTTTGTTAATTCTCTTTTTTTTTACCAAAAGATGAGTGAATTTGAATACAAGATTGAGAATAAGCTGTATTACTTGACAATTGTCAAAGATGAAATATCTGGACTTGGATTTTTCAACCCATTATCCAGAAATCAAGTTTATGATATTTTTACAAAACTGGTAGAGGAGGAAGAAGAATTCATGGGACTCTATCCTAAAATTAGTGGAGTGGATCAAGAAAAACTAAAAGAATTACTTGATACATATCATGAAATATTTTGTTATATTGTAGAAGTATTATTTGATATTAATGATGTATTGTTCCAGGTTCATGACAATTTATTTTATTAAAAGATATAATCATTTTATCAAACCTATTAAGTTAAATAAACATTATTGATGTGGCTTAAATAAAAAGAACAACAAAACCTAAAATAAATATTCATAACAACTAAATTTATAAAACATTTAGGTAAAGATGGGAGTTTCCATTTAATTGACTAAAGAGTTCTTTCTAAAATGTGAAGAGTTCTTTGGATTCTTTTGATGCATGTGATTGATAATGTACTTCTCTTATAAGCTGGAACTTTAATTTAATGAAAATATTCCAAAATAAAGAGTTATAGACAAGAGAATAAGAAATTTTCAGAATTTTTGCTTTGAAAAATAAAATTACTTTGAAAAATGTAAATATTTTTAAATATCAAGATCTAACTTACAAAAGAAATATATTATTTACTCATATTTGTTGCTTAAACTCTAATTGTACAAAAAAATTCAAATAAACAACTATGACAACACTTAATAATAACATTTATTTGTTGAAATTTTTACTATGATTTTAAAAAGAAAGCTTTATAATGTGACAAAATATTAAAACTATTGTTCAATTATTTTAATATATTTTGTTAGGTGAAAGGGCTAGGGTTTAGGGTTAGGAAAAAATGGTTTGAAACTTAATTATATCTATATAGATAACTATTCATTTTAATAGTATTGAATGACAATATCTCGTAAGTTTAAAGATACATTGACTAAGTACTTGTTTGATATTGAGCTTACAATACAAAAGAGTCTACTTTTCCTGTAGTAGTAACTGTTCACATAAAAAAACTTGAAAAAAGATAACATTTTATAATGTATTACTAGCCTATTACTACAATTTCAAGCCGTTTTAATTAAAAAGAAAAAAGTCAATATTTAATTCTTCTTTAAAAGAAATATATGAAAATACTGACAGTATAAAGCATAGAATTTAGGGTATCTTTCCATAAATCTGTAGATACTCTTACTTGAGCAGTATTTGGATTAATGGTAAAAAATTGAGGTGCTGGGAACACTCCTACCAGCTGGTATTCAATTTTTCCTTCATTGTCTCTATCTTGTGTTGTCAAATCAAGGAGGAGTGGACTGATCACTGACTCTAACTAGAATCTGATTTAAAGGAAAATAATAGAATTATGACATAAATCTACAAAGAAGACAGTTTTATGTTTAAGATTTTACTGTATCAGTATTGTGAGTTAAAGATTGAAGATTGTATTTGAGACTAATTGATCCAGTTGATGGATCAATATGATATCTTTGCATTACATCTTCTGTACCAGTTATTTCATATCTGAAAAATATTAAAATGAATATACACATATTTTATTAACAAATATAATGTTACCTTAGTACATCATCCTGTATCCTGATCATTTGCTTTTACTTTAATTATTTGGTGACCAATTTGATATCTATCATTAATCGAAACTCTGTATCTACTTTGCTCAAATTTCAGTTGATAAAAGTTCCTATTAACTCAAAGGATTAGAGAAAAAATTGCAGAGGAAGTTACAGGTCATTTATCATCTATAACTTTGATTTCACAAGTGAAATACTGTTTAAGGTCAACTTGTTATTTAAAACATACAATCACTCATTCGAAAAAATCAAAGGATGTCTGAATATTTCTGATTATCAAATTTCTCAGATGATGGCTTTGAATTTTAAAATATGACCTGATTTATTTAAATTCCAGAAAACAAACTTCATTTCTAATAAATTTAGAACGCCAATCAATTACCAAAAATGTTGAAATAATCAGGTCCAAAAAACAATTTTTTGTTGAATCAATGATATTTTTGCAAGAGATCTCAAACCAGAAACTAATCAGAAAATAGGACAATGTCATCATGAAATTTTTTTAATTGATCATTTGGACCATAGAAAGAAAAATCACAGTCAGGGGCAACATGTTCGGATTTGGTAAGGCAAAGGATGAGGAAAAAGAAAAGTCAAAAATTGAAACCAAAAAGAACCAGTCAGAAGATCAGAAACCTGATAAAGATACAAAAAGAGTTAAAAAGGGCAGCGTAGAAGGATTACAAGAGGAGCCACTCAAGGAAAAACAACAGGAGGAAACAAGGAAATCAGAAGAGAAGCAAACTGAAAAAAACGACACAGATGAAAAACAGAGCAAAGAACAGGAAAAATCTGAGTCAAAACTCAAGAAAGACCAAGATTTGCTGAAAGAAGAGCAAAAGGCTCTAGAAAAAGAGAAATCTAAGCTAAAAAGTGATCAGGAGATGTTTCTCAGCAGGAAGACTGACAGTTACGAGGAAAAACATGAAAAGCTCATCGATCTCTTCAAAAATGAATCTAGAATTTCATAACAGAAAAGATGTGAATGTTCATTTTGTATCAAATGTTGATCAGGTTGAAATGTTAAAGACATTCGAGAAAATTGATCCAGAAGAGACTCTGTTTATTGTTGTGAGCAAAGATTCACAACACAGGAGACCATGTCAAATGCCCAGGTTGCCTTAAAAATGATTGAAGAAAAAACTGGAAAAAGCTGAGCAGAAATCGCTGAAAAATAATTCAAAGGATTACAAATTCTTCCCAGGCGACAGACCATCAATAACAGTGGCATATTCCAGATTGACACCTGAGATCGTAGGGGCTCTGATCACATTCACAGAGCACAAATTGTACGTTCAGGGTCTTTACTGGAAAATTAATTCATTTGACCAATTTGGTGTGACACTTGGCAAATCTGTTGCGTTGGACATCCTCAAGGCCATGGATGAGGATGTAAAGCACATGGACACAGGCTCAATGTGTCTTCTGGGCCTTTACAAAGAGTTAAATGATTGAGAAACTGAAAAATAAAGATTTTCTTGAGTTCTTTCAAATTTTATGGTGAAATTCAAAGGCAGTCTATTCTGAAATATTTTTTAGATATTTTACTTCTAAAAAAGTGACTTAAATCATATAAAACTTATTTGTGTTGATTTTACCATCCAATGAAGGACTTGATTTCCAGGATTGAAAGTTTCAAAAACCCAGATCTTACAGCTGAAAGAAAGATGCAATTTGCAGTGGCCAGATTATCTTGCCCATCTGAGTCAAAATTTCTCAATACTCTCAATACGCCGTGCCATTTTTGTGATGTCAGACTGGGTGACTGGGACGAGGAGGACGATCCGTTCATTGAGCACAGTAAATGAGCAGAAAAATGTCCAATTTACAATTTAAGAATGAAGATTTCTAGAAAAAAGACTTTCAAAGACATGCCTTTTGAAGAAGCGCAGATTTCCAAGATGGTGAAAAACCATCAAAAAGAACAGAAACTGAAATTGCATCATAAGAAATGGGCAAAACTGACAACGACTTCTTTTATGTTGAACTTCTCAAAGACAACTACAACAATATGTTGCAAAAAATACAGACACCTGAATTTCAACTGACAGAATCTGAAAGGGAAGAAATTGAATTTCTGTTGTCATTGCTCAAATCGACAGGACCGTTTTTGAAGGTCAAAGACGTTTTGACTGAGGCTGTAAAAATGGCAGGTAAAAAAATTGAAAAAGAAATGGAAAAAGATATCAAAGAGATCCAAGACATGATCTCTGCAGCAGAATGAAATTATAAATAAAAAATGGGTGTTTTTCCTGTTTAAAGTCTTTTTCTAAAAGTCTTAGAGAAGAATTGATTTTATTTGAGGAATATTGCAGGCTCATCTTTTCTGCATTCATTCTGTGTGCAATTCGCCTGATGAATTTCATAGATGTCCCATTTTGACATTTTCATTGTATTGACCAGTTTCACAAAAAGTGAAAATTCAGTATTTTTATTCAGACAAAATTTTCTACCCATATGACAACAGGTCTTGATATTGTATCCAGCAATTTTGCAAACATCGATGGATCCGTTGCACACTCCTCTATAGATGGCATCACTGCAATCGCCCAAATGTATAATATTTGAGCCTAATCTATGAAACAAATTCTGAATCATCGTTTGCTTCTCAATTTTTTTAAGCTCTAAAGGGGTCACAATCTGTAGATCACAGGGTGCTGCAAATGCTAGAACATATTCCTGATTCTTATGGCCTAGAATTGACACTATAGCAGCACCCATGGAATGCCCAGTGAGCACAATTTTATTTTTTGGATGTTTGTGCTTGACTTGATCATAAATTCTCTGTGCTGCATCGATGTATAGCACTTCTTTCATTCGATCATATGATGGCTTGCAATTGAAAATGATATTGTCGAATAATTTGTCTTTTTGTGATGTATTGCTGGAATCTATTCCCAGAATTGACAGAAATGTGCCTTTAAAGGCGATTACAGTCGTGTTGCCTGACGTATAAATTATTCCTTTGAGTGAATCGGTGATAAACCTTCTTCTTCTACCAACAAAACTGAGGAATGATTGACATCTGAAATGTTTCTAGATTCCATTTCTATCTCAACATCTTCAAAATCTCCTATGGAATAAGTCTGATGAGCCAATTTTGCAATTTTATGAATAAAAAGCCGTTGTTTTGGACTGAATTTGAACGGCACGAGTGATTCGTGTGGATCTCAGAAGAATAACTTGTTCATTTTGAATATTCGGCTGATTCGAGCAATATTTTTCAATCCACCGATAAGAAATTCCAGAAATTGTTTTACACCCGTATCATTGTCTGCAGTTGTAGAAATAATTTCATCTATATCACAAAAAACGGTACAAATGAGAGCAAATAAACTTAATCACATGTTATTGGCTGATTAGATTTACAAAAATACAATTTTGAAACAAATTGTTTAGAATTGTGAGAAATGAGATATTTGTCCATGATCAAAGCCAAATATTCTGATTAAAATGATTATTGCATCATATTAAGATTGTTTCTAGTTCAATACCTGTAAAATCTAAAAAAAATTCTAGAATTAAGAAACTTGTACACAATTTTATTCTTCATCCATCTTAGGTGCTATAAAATAGTTGATATGCCCACCTTCTTTCAATTTAAACTCAAAGAAAACAGGCTCGTTCACTCCTAAGCACAATTTTATATTTGGGCAATATCTGGCTGTTTTTGTAACACAGTTCATATATTTCATAGAAATTTCAACTGAGACTTCCTCTGTGATGTTCACTCTGATGTTGTATTTTCCAGTCTCAGCCGCCTTATTTTTTGTTTTAGAGCTGATCATTTCACCACTTTGTGATAAATTTATTGTTGAATCAGATGCTTCAACTGTGATATATTCAGCAAAATTTCCAGCAGATTGTCTCATCATAAGGAAATCAGAGCTTTTCATCTCTGCTTCTGCTGTAAACTCAATTGCTGGAATATTGTATGATTCACTGCCAATATTTTGCAATTTTATAACATAATCAGCTGTGCAGGCCTCTGTTTCAAATTTAATATTTAAGAATTCTGGATTGTCTTCACTTTGTAAA